ATATAGATATGTGTGTGTGTGTGTGTGTATCTTATTGATAACAGGTCCTGTTACAGAACACTAAATGACATAAAGAAATCTCCAATTAAATTTCTCTTTCTTTAAGATTAAAATTATCATTTCAGACAAATTTAGTTTGGAGAACATTAGCTTGGTAAAGTGCTTTTCCAAGCTTTATATTTTAAAACTTGTATGTTAGAAGAACATGAGTATACTTAATATGCAAAGAACTAGTAGTTAGCATCATGATTACACAGATGTCCTTATATTAATCAGGTTTAATTTTTTACAGTAAAATTCAGAATTCATAGGTTGTTACAGGTTTGCAGAGTTTAGCAGCACTACCAAAAATCAAAGGATAGCCTTAAATCTCTTATACATTTAGAGAACAGTGTTATTGGTCAGAACTAGACTTAGTTAAAGCAGACAGATTTATATCAGTTTCTCAATTGGCAGTGTGGCTCTTTTATGTCAGATGCAATATATAAAAGATAGTGCTTGTTGGTTAAACCTATATGAACTTTCATTTATATAAACTTCTACATAACATTTAGATAAGGCTCAGACAAACATATTTAGTTTCAGATGTATACATATCTCTAGTGACATATATATTCAGGTTATTCATGAAAAAAAAATCAAGCCTGGCCAAAATTGTAAGGTATCTCTTTCTCTAACAAAGAAAAAACCTAAAAGTAATGGGCATCGCGGGCTGGGGATGTGGCTAAAGCGGTAGCGCGCTCGCCTGGCATGCGTGCGGCCCGGGTTCGATACTCAGCACCACATACCAACAAAGATGTTGTGTCCGCTGAGAACTAAAAATAAATAAATTAAAAAAAAAAGTAATGGGCATTGCACTTTAATATTTTAGAGCTCAAGCCTTGCACAAATTGTTCCTCATTAGTGTGGAGTTTTTTAACAGGCAGCATAGGCAGAGTAGGAGATCTGGAAAAGCTGACTCAAGTCACATTTCCAACAACCGTCCAGAAGAGGATGAATCCCCATTAATGTCTCTCTCTTAAGGAGTTATCCCTTCCCCTCAAGGGCAAGTTATTTCCTCCTAAAATAAAATTGTGGTTGAGAAAACATTGATCACTTTCTCAGGGTCCCTCTGGCCAGAAAGGCCTCCTTCTCTTCTAGGAGACCTCCAGCAGAGAGGAAGGCACTTGCAAATGAAGTTGTTACTCTTTGCGTGAGCATGTTATTTGTACATTTAATTTTTATAACAAATTTTATCCCAGGAGAGGGATCAGTCTGGAATATTTAAAAACAAAAAATTGTGCCTTAATCTTTTTCCCTTCCAGTTTGTGCTCAAGAGGTTGGAGCACAGGTTATCCTTGTTTGACCAGTCTCCCTTATCATCATCATAATGCCATCAACTTTAAGTGAGTTCCCCACTGTCAATTGTACCCAGAGATTCTCTCTACATTTGTATGTGTGTATGTATCTAGGGAATTCTGTACAAGGAAGGTCACATTGACCATACAAAGACTGTTAGGGACCTCTCTCTGCAGAAATCAGCAGGGCCAAGACATAAGTGCTTAGGCCCTTGTATTTTAGCTTTTTGGGCAACAAGTAGGGCTGCACCCACAAGTATCCTCTGACCAAATAGGACATGCTGTCAGAGCTTAGAAAGGGGAGACTATTTTCTCCCCAGGTTATTGTTTTATTGAAGAGTACTGGAACCCACTGCCCCTTTCCTAGTGACTGGCAGCTTTTATTTTTATTTTTTTACACCCCATTAAGATAGGCTAGTTAATCATCAGACAATGAGTGTAATGGGCTCCAGATAAGGCTATTTATTTATTTGTTTAATTTTTCCAAATGTAAAGTAAACCCAGTGAGGTCCAGCATTCCAGTCCACTCCTTTGTCCCCAGGGTGGCAGGAAAATGGAAATGGGGGTGGACCCAAAAGGAGGTTGCAAAAAAAAAAAATCAGACTTCAGGGCTAAAGGCATTCAGCCAAATAGAAAGTCACGGCCAAGCCAGTAACTTTTATCCCTTCCCAACATCCTACAGCATAGATTCCAACAATTAGTTCGAACGCTTTTAATGTCTGTTCAGCATGGACTCTGATCAGAGTCTTTATCCAGCAGCCTTAAGTTCCCAGACTAGTGTACTCAAGTGGAAAAAAGCTTTCCGCCACTTTCTTCCTCACATGATGGGGAATTTCATTTCTTTTTCCTCACTCAAAAATAATTAAAAAAATTTTTATCCTTTGCCATCATCCATGGATTTCATTCTTTGAACCCATGAGACAAGAACACAGAAAGAAAATCAGTGAGACCTACAGCCCGCACACATTTCATTTGATTTCAGAGGCAGCAAACTGAGCCCTGTTCTCAAACTTTTATCCCTGGGCAAAGAGTGGCTAAAAAGCAGAGTAGAGGGCAGATCCTGTTTCCCATTTCTCTACAGACCAGGCAGCTTTCTTGAGTTTTATTCATTTATTTGTTTATTCTTTGATCCAAGAACTGGTGATCCTGACCCACAGCAGGATGATTTGAAGTTGCCTGGGGCCAGGCTGAGAAGGTGCTCACACTGTCAGTTCTGGGTTGAAAGGAAAACAACTTCTTTTTTTCAGTCCTCCTTTGGTGTTCTGCTGCTCACACATTAGGGCAGCACCTTTTGCATCCAACTTAGTTTTGACTGTTAAGACTCCTTATTATGTAATGGCCTACATGTCTGTATATACAGAACACTTATTTTATCTCTGACAGACCAACTCCCAACTGTACAATAATTTAGAAAACCAAAGACCAGATTGTCACAGTAAAACATGATTTTTTCTTAGTCACAATTACATCTATAGGTAGCCCATTCAGTCAAGATCTTTCCCAAGAAACAATCTATAGGATCAACTCCTTATTGCCCATGTCTTAAAGGGCCAGAAACAGGTACAAACAAAGAAACATAATGACAGAGAAACATAGAGGATCCCCAAACCATGGCAGACAGATGGGGACCTTTAAAACAGACAAGATGGTGGGAAAATCTCCCCAAGTTCCCAATTCCCGCTTATCTGCGACTCCTACATCAGTGGTGTCACAGATGTTCCCATAGGGGTGGGGAACCAGGTGCTCCCACAAAGGGGACCAGAAGTGTAGAATCAAAGGTCTCAGTGTGCACTGGGCAGCTTACCAGGTGGCCAAGGTGCCGAAACTTTACTGCATTCAGTTTCCTTTTTCTCCAAGTAGACCAAGATGGAGGGATCCTTACAGTGCAGGGAAGGAAGGTGGGAGTCCCCCTGAGCTCAGGGGCTTCAGCAGCTGCTGGGAGTCCCTCCGTCCCTCCCTTTACTTACAGGAATAGCTCCTCTGGTTCAGTTCCACCCGAGGCCCACTCACCCCTAACTTTCCAGGAGCTCTCCAAAAGTTCATCTTACATCCTTAGCATGGAAGTGCAGTTCATGGGGTGCCAGGACTGTCCAAGAAACCCAGAGCCAGGGCTTCTTCTCAGGTCCCATCTGGGGTGCCAAGATTTGTAACCAAAACCTCGGTCCCTGTCTCCAATGCAATTTGATAATGAGGCCAAGGTTTTGAGGAAAAGGAAAGAAAAACTTCATTGCTTTGCTAGCAAAGGAGATTAAAAAAAATTTTTTTTCAAGAGTTACATTCCAGGAGGGGGCCTTCAGGTTGCCCTGATGGCCTATTAGTATTCACATTTTGGAGATCCTCACTTCCCAGATTCTCAGCAGGCACCCTCTTCCTGTAGCAGGTGTTCAAGGGCAGTTAACTAGGGGAAGAAAAGATGACACTGTCTTCCAAATCTTGTTAGGGAGGGGGAGAGGGGAGAAGAGAGGAAAAAAAAATTTTTTTAAATAAACCTTAGAGCAATGAGGGCTACATTCAGAGGTGAAGGGACCACTGTGAGATGAACCCAGTGATCTTGAGGGAGGGGAAGCTCAGACTACCAGGATGGGGGTGGGGAAGGGCTGACTGGACTCTGGTCCATGGGAGCCAACAGGGTGTTACCGCTGAGGGACGGGAGCTAGAGTGAAATGCAGAAAGGAGTCACTGAGGTGTTTGGTCTACGTGACAGAGAAATGAGCAGGCCTCCCTTCAGAAGGGGAGGGCTTTAAATATCTTTTTATCATTCAGGGAGACCTGGAGATATTTGTGGTTAAGATTTAGGCATATAGAACTTAGAATGTCTTTTTTTTTTTTTTTTTTTTTGGTGTTGGGGATTGAACCCAGGGCCTTGTGCATGCAAAGCAAGCATTCTACCAACCGAGCTATGTCCCCAGCCCCTAGAATATCTATTTTGATGACCGGTGGCACTTGACTGTGAAAAGCTAAGGTTCAGGAGAAAGAATGAAGAAGGTCAGGAATTAGATACGGATTTAGAGGATCTGGCGGGAAATGAGCCAGAATCCCAGGGGAATGGTGGGAACCTCTTAGGGAATTGGAAGGAATGAAGAAGAGGTCGCAATAGGAACTGTGGAGATCCCTGAAGCTTAGCACACTGGAGCTGAGAAGGACTGACATTTAGTGGCCCACAGAAATCAAAATAAAATCCAGGAGGTGACAAGTCTCAAGGCCACTATTGAGACAAGGCTGTCAGGTTCCAGGGGTGTTCCTGAGGCTCCCCTTCACCCTACAGAGAGAGCAGAGGCTTGTAGACTTGCCACTTCCCACAGAGAAGGCTTCCTGTCCCAGAGAATGGCAAGGTCCCTGGAGGTTTCACCCCAGAGAGCCTTTGTCATCCCGGTGGGGAAGGCTGCACTGCAGAGCTGTCCCCTGCACTGCTTGCACATCAGAGACAGCTTGGTTTCTACAACATCTTTCTACCTCTTCTGTTTGCAAATGAGAGGCAGAGAGGGCAAGCATTTACTTGTCATCAGACAATTAAGAATCTGAAAAGAAAGTTGTCATTCACATGATTGCAAGGCCAGGGAAGGACAGTCGCAGAAATCTCCAGGAAGAAAAAAGCATCTTGAACTTTGAGATGGAGTTAAAAAGGAAGAATACACTTTAGATAGATTATCAAGATAACATTAATTAAATTTGCTCATAATTTATATTTGTTCATTATTTAAGCATTTAGCATTAGAATATTACAATATTTGTTTAGCAATTACATATTAGATAAAAATGAAGACAAAGGTGGCAGAATAGGGGGTCTTCAATGACTTTTAAAGGATTTTGTTGGAAAGGTACAGAATATAATTCAAAAGTAAGTTATTTTTATCATTTCATTTTCAACGTCACCATTTTATTTAAATAACACAGTTAACTTAAACTAGTCACATCAATCATGACCTTAAATACCTACCCTAATACTGTGAGGGCCAGTAAATTGTTCCAGGCACAGGAGACCCCCGAGGGAAGGACCCCTGCTGTGGTCCTGGGGCCAGTCCCCAGAGCAGGCAGGAGGCTGCAGCTGTCCTCTGGGCCCCATGAATGGGCGCAGCCCTTTGGCAAGCTGATGCAAACCTTCCTTAGTCCCTCCTGACTCTGAAGAAAACCAGTTGGATCAAATATCTAGGGCATTCCTACTTTTACAAACATTTGCAGAGATAAAGAGAGAAGATCGAAATCCATGTTATGGTCGGAGCAATGAATTTCACGACCCTCAAAAACTGTTCCCAGAATAAAGACACACTTGTGAAGGATGATTTTGAATATGTTGATGTAAAAGGAAACGAAACTTTAAACAACCAGAGGTATCCAGGAAAAAAAAGGGGGGGGGGGGCAAGGAATGAGACAGAGGAGGAGCCAGCCAGGAAGGTGAGGGAGGGCTCGGGAGGGAGCCTCAGCCTGCTCGGGCCCCCTGCAGGGTTTCCATCTCTCAGCCCGGAGATTCAGCGTTGGGAGAGAAGACACTGAAAAGAATGGAAATTATAACGAACATACAGAACTCTTTAATACGAGACTATTAATTTGAAAGAAAAGCCATCGAGTAAGTGGGGGGCCATCCGGGAATAGTTTGAGGAGACCCTCCAGGTCCAATGTTCCCGCATACACAGCATCTCCTGTCTGCTTGGATTTCAAGGAACCTCCTCAGGCCCGAGCAAGAGGCTGCCCTGAGCTGGGCACTTGGTGAAGCTGTATGTCCCTCCTCCGCCGCTCTCCAGGGCCCTTGGATAGGTTGCGGGAGGACCCTGAGCACAGCACTTCAGGACTGAAGGTCGTCCACGAGAGGAGGGTCAGGGTGGCCCCCGGATGCCCAGTTCTCTGCCTCCTCTTCTGCCATCGGTGGCAAGATCAGCGGCGCCTCGTCGCAGACGAAGAAGTAGGGCCGGAGGACACCCGATGACACCTGGCTGAAGCTGTAGATGTAGGACCCGTCCGTGACGTTGTAGAAGGACACCTCGCCCGCCTCGTAGTCCAGGAAGACCCCGATGCGGCGCGGCCGCTCTAGCTGCAGCAGGGGCGCGGACGGGGAGGTCAGCACCATGTACTCGCAGCCGCGCAGCAGCCACAGGGCCCAGACGCCGTTCTCCGGGGACGGCGTGGCTTCCCCCTTCCTCTGCACCGAGTCCTGGCAGACGCCCAGGCCCCACTCGGCCCGCACTCCCACCACCACCTCCCAGTAGTGTCTCCCTGATGAGAAGCTCTGCAAGCCCAGGATGCAGGGCCAGGTGTCGAATCGCTCGGGGTTGCGGGGCACGTCCCTCCACAGCTCCCCGTCCTGCACGCTGCGCAGGTCGGCTGTCAGCAGGAGGCTGGGGTGCGCCGTGGAAGGGTCCAGCTTCACGTCCACTGCAGAGAGTGGTGGGACACGTGAATGCACGGGAAGGACTAGATGCCCCCGGGGGTGAGCGTTGGCAACACCCTCTCAGACTGCCCAAGAAATAGGCCTTTCTCCAGGGTCTGAGCAAGTCTTCAACCTGCTGGGGCGCCCAGGGAGGCCTTGGCATGACCAGGCCATTAGAACAGCGCTGCTGTCAGCTTGCTGGGAAGCCAAACGCCCAGTGGAAGGCACCTTTTCATCTGCACCCAGAGCTCCTGGGTGCACTTAGGATCATCTGCGCTTAGCATGAAATTATAAACTGCTTGGGGATTGTATAAGATAATATCATTAATATGAAATTCACTACTTTCAAAGTGGTGTAACTGTGGTTGGGGGAATTGTACACTAGATGCCCTGACCTCCATGCCCTGGTGTTATTACCTTCATGATTATGTGACATTCTAGGACAACAGAGGCTATCTGGGAGGGTCTGACCTAATCCCACAAGCCCTTTAAAACTAGAAAGTCCTCTAGCTATCAGGATGGTGCCAGAAGAGAGTCTTAGACTTGGCTCTGATACAGCCTTGCCAGGGTGGAAGGTGGGGAGGGTCACATGAGAGGAAGGTGAGAGGCTCTGGAGCAGAGTGGCCCCAAATAATGGCTTGCAGGAAAACAAGGACCATGGCGTTGCAGCTGCAGGGAACTCCAGCTGGAAAGTCCTTCCCCAGACTCCTCAGAGAGACTCAGTCCTTGATTTTGGCCTTCAGAAACCCTAACCCAAGCAAGGGAGTCAGCTACTCCCACCTGCAAGTCTGATCTTTGGACCTGTGAGCTAACTAGTGGGTGTGGTCTAAAGTGGCTGTTTGTAGTGATTGGTTCCACAACAGGAGGACCATCTAACATGTACTGTGGAGTCCCAGCAAGACTGATGCAGGATTGACTCACATACATAGTAGGCAAATGCATCTACATCAAAACCAGAGTACTTCCTTGTAAGCACTCAAAGGTAGTAAATTCATTAATAGACCTTAAGGTCATGGCAAAAACAATTACTACTTGTACTAGTCCAATTCATCTTCAAGCCACACATCATGAACTTCTATGGATACCTAAACCTGACTGGCCACATCACTAGGCTCTGTGTGTTTATTACCTATGTTAAATCAGGAAGCCACCTTCTTCTTCTTCTTCTTTTTTTTTTTTGTATCAGGGCTTGAACTCAGGGCACTCAACCGCTGAGTCACATCCCCAGTCCTATTTTGTATTTTATTTAGAGACAGGGTCTCACTGAGTTGCTTAGCACCTTGCCATTGTTGAAGCTGGCTTTGAACTCATGATCCTCCTGCCTCAGCTTCCCCAGCTGCTGGGATTACAGGAATGTGCCACCAAACCAGGTTAGGAAGCCACCCTTAATGTGGTTACTACCACCTCACAATATTGATGAGGAGATTCAAAGACTGTACCTGATTTCCCAACTCCACAGGAAGCAAATACCAGCCTGGAATGTGGCTGGTGGGGTGGGGAACTGCAGGGCTCATTTAATATGCACAATGCTCAGCTCCATTGTTAGCCAAAGAAATCTGTGAAAGAGCTTTGGCTGTCAAGGGTAATGGGGCCATTATGCACAGCAAACTGTCCTGCCCACATGCCCAGCAGCCACCAGGGTGGTGAATGGACGGTCCTGTGTTGGTAGACACCATGAGGACCTGACTGTCCTGGAGAGACTCCTGCTCTTTTCCAGACTCACCAGCGCCCATGCTTCCCTCCATCTTGGTGTCCCCTCTCCTCCTTCACTGCCCCAGGACAAGCTGCAGTGCCAAGTTGGGGACTTCTTTCTCGGCTCAAGCCCTGTGGTCCTAGGTTGGCTCACTCAACTCTCCAGTCAACTCCAGTCCTCTGCTACTGATTGCAGTGCGTGTTGCCAGCCTGGCCTCTCCCCTGAAGGTCCTTATTGTGAACTCATCTGCCTCCCTGGCCAGTTTTGGATGCTAAGTATCTGCCAACCTGCCCCAAACCAGTTGCCCTTCGTGGGCCTTGCCTGCAGCATGGCCATCAGCACAACCAGCCATTTTGTGTGGCAGTTCTCGGGGTCCAAGACCATGGGTCCTCTTCACTCTCCTCTCACCACAAAACACAGCTCATCCAGGAGCAGATCCCAGCAGCTCCGCTTCCATGGCTGGCCAAGGATGTGGCCATCTGGCACCTTTCATACCAACACTGGGGGTACCTACACTCATCTGTCACTGAACAGTGATAAAGGACACCAGCTGCTGTCTTGGTGCCTTTAATTCATCACAATAAAGCACCCGGATGATGTGCACACAAGGCCAGTCAGTCCTGACCAGGGACACCCTGTGCTCTCCCACTGAGTGCTGCTCACAGAAGCAGCCCACCTCTCCAGCCCTGCTGCATCCTTGTCCTCCTTGCCCTCCCCCTGGGCTCCCTCACCATCCTGTCCTCACAGTCCCAGCACACCTGCCGCACTTCCTGCTGCCCGACGCTCTGCTCCTCTCCCCGTCAGGCAGATTTTTCTTTCTATTATTATAATTATTAACATGCATCAAATCACACTCTCCAGAAGTCCCTGTCCTCTCCTCATAGCCATGTGCCTGGGTAACTGAAGTCAGTATTTGTACCGTGAATCACGGGTCATAGCACATTTGATTTGCTTTTGTTCTTCAATGATTCACTCCACTGGTAGAAAGGGCAGCATAAACCAGGCAGCATGGGCTGGATTCATTCACTAACTATTTCATTCGGTAAAAAGGAAAAGCATAGGAGGTGACAGAGTCTGGGGGTGTGCTGCGAAGGCCCTCATCAAGTCACATGGCTAGTGTATGTTCACCTGTCCACCAAACGGGGTGGGGGGGGTCACTGGGTGCTACAACTGAGGTAGGTTTTCTCATTACAGGACAGGACTGTCCCTGGGAAGCCACAGTTTGTATTATGTGGTGCAAAGTAAATTTTAAAAGGAAATAGTAAAAATATTGAATCGTCACCATTTTAAAGAACAACATGATTGGGTGAACAAAGCCATTTTGTGCAGACCCTCTGGGTGTCCCTGACTGGCATCCGCTCGGATTGTGCACAAATGTCCCCTCCCCCTTCCTGCAGGCAGGTGCACTGCTCCACCCCTTCACAGCCTGACACTGAAATCCTCAGGAAGGCCAAGGGCAGTGCATGAGTCATGGTGAGAGAGTGCAGTATATTTTTGGTCTATGTCCTAGGTCCTGACACACCAGTTCCCAAAAGTCCTGAGACAAGGGACTCTTTTGCATGCTAGTGAGATGGCTGGTGCTTGGAGGCCTAGATGACCTCAGGATGGGTCTGGTTTCCAGAGAAACCCCTTGGGATTAAAGGGATAGAACCTTCAGTCCAACATCCCCCTACCTCTGGGAGGAGAGTAGGGGCTGAAGCTCCAGGGGCCAGCAGTGGCCAGTGGTGTCACTGGTCATGCCTGCTGAATGAAGCCTCCATAAACCCAAAGACAGAGCTTGCCAGTGGCGGCACACAAGGAGATCCTGCAAGGAGCACCCAGAGAGGGCGTGTTGCCCCTCCCCACACCAACCCTATTGGTTTCCTCCACCCGGCTGTTGGTCCCCATCCTCTGCAACACGCTGTACAATAACTGACCAAGTGTGAGTAGGGTCTGAGTTCTGGGGGCTGCTCTAGCAAACAAACCGCGCTCATAGAGCGGGTCCTGGGAAAGCTGCTTTGCAGTTGGCTGGTCAGAGGCACAAGCCACAGCCTGCTTGTTCCTTGCTCCTGAAGCAGGGCACAGCTTTGCAGGACCAGGCCCTCAACCTGTGGGATTCGATGATGCCTGCAGGTGGACAGGGTCAGAATAGAGTGAGTGGGAGCCAGCGGGGCAACCCTGGAGAACTGATCGACTCCTAGAGGGAGACACCCACATGTTCTGCTGGGCAGGGCTGACGCATTGTACCCGGGAAGGAGCTGGAGGTCTGCCAGGCTGGGCCCCAGGTGAGAGGCCACGACACCCTGAGAGTTCACTCGCATATGAGAGCACACTCACACAGTGAGTCTCAGAGACCTGAGGCTCTGCTGTGGCTGCTCTGCTGTGGCCACAGGCCAGGGCAGTAAGGGCAGCAGTAAGCCCCACACTCTCAGCATCAGTTCCCAGGCTCCAGGGCTCCACCCACCTTGGAATCTCCTCAACATTTCCCGCATGCCAGGGATGCGACATGGGGTCTTCAGCTCCATGGGGATGGTCTCTGGTTCCAGCGGCATCACAGCCTTACTTCTGAGAAGAGCAGAGAACCTGGAAATGTCAGCATGGCCACACCAGCCCTCTCCGCCTCCCCCGCTCCCTCACTGGAGCGGAAAGTACACTTACCGGCTCAGGGCTCCTTGCACACCCTGGAAGTAAGAGACACAAGCAGGTGTAAGTGCTTCCCACAGTTGACTGGGGACACATCACGAAAATGTCTTTAGAACGTACTGGAAATAATTAACAAGCAACATAAGACTGCAGGTGACAGTGAATCTCTGTTAATTAAAGGCAAAAAAGGCTATAATTGAATTCTCACATGACTCTCAAATTTAAAAATCAGGAATATAATTAGAACAGAGTCAGACTACACAAAGTTTATATTAATTCCCATGAAACCTATCCATGAACTATGGATTGTCAACTGATAGCTCTGGTTGTTGGGCTATTTTAACAGTTACATTCTGCATTTTATACAGATGGAATTAGGGTAAAAATCCTACATGTTTTCGGAATTTACTCGAGGAACAGATATAAGTACGGCATAGATCCTGGGACTGGGCATATCGCTCATGGTCGAGGGCTTCCCTGACTTGAACAGGGCCCTGTGTTCTGTCCCAGTACTCCAGAAAAAGTCATCTTCAAATTCGAATTCTCTGAACCAACAGACAAAGCTACTAACTGTCTAAGGAGATAAGAAAGGAAGTCATTACTATCCAACAACAGTGTATCTCAAATCAGGTAACAAAAAGGTCACCTCCAACACACTTGTCTTCTTCCCTAAAAGTGGCCAACAGTCAGACAAATTTCAATAAGGCATGAATGCAGGGAAACCATTTGCCTTGTCCTTTATGGACATGATCGGCCTGGGTCTTGGCCAGTGGGGTAAAATGAAGATCATTGGTATCAGAGAAGAAAGAGAGAGGACACAGACAAAAATTATGTAAGACTATATTCTTACTATGATTTGTACTATAAACCATTTTAACATTTATATGGTACAAAGAAATACTCATTTTAAATGAGATGTTATCTGAGATAATGCAGTGAATATTATTTTTGAAATGCCAACGTTCCTGTGCTTACTTGCCACCTATACTTGAAAAATTAATTTCTTTCTGGCTCTCTGTTTACTCATTAGGAAATGAGCACAGCCATGACATTGGTAATGGAGATAGAATGGGCAGATTAAATAAAGTGCTTGGTAGATAAAAGAGTTTCATGCAGTTACTTAGTGATTCCCCATCAGATGCCACAATATTGACAACTGTGTTTGCAAATGTCCCAGGACAGCAACTAGGTTTATGTGTCTGGAACTTGCAGTGTCCAGAGGCGAGTCAGTTGGGACACTGTGGGCCAGCTGCTCAGTGGGGATCTGCACTCTCTTTTAGGTTAGAATCCTCATCTGTCACTGGGGCAAGGTACAGAGAAAAGTACCAGGTGAATGAATTTCTCTTGCAGGCGACCCTGTGAACAACACCTGTGGGGCGGAATGGCCGTGTCTGTGACCCCAGACCCTGGGGAGGCTGGGGCAGGAGGGAGCGGTTCAAGGCCAGCCTGAGCCTCTGAGTGAGACCCTGTCTCCAATTAAAACTTTAAAAAGGCTGCTCTGAAGTCCTAAAAGATTGAGAAATCTGCATGGGAGTCCATACACTCCCACTATACACTCCCCTTAGGACTTAACACGGGAATTTCAAGCTGGACTAGGTGAAGCACTGCTCATACTTCTGGCTATTTTCCATGAAATGGGCTGCCAGAAGCTTTGGGGGTTGAACATTCATGAAAATCAGCAATATCACCTTTGACAAAAGACGGTTTCTCAGCCAGAATGGCGCAGCTTATCCTTGCCCCAGCTGTTCATGATTCCATAAATAATTAATTTTAACTCATCACGTATTGAAGTTTTTGTCTTTTGCATGAGCTAAATGGTCCTCTGGGTTCCTCCTGACTCAGGGCCCAGTATTCGGTCGTAAGATGCCTTCTAAGGAAGTACTGCTGAGCTCTGTCCTAGAGAGCTGGGTACCTTCGTGTCCCATGCCAAGGCTTGTCCCCATCCCCTCAGCCTCTGTGGGCCTGGCCTCCTGAGGCCACCTCACCTCCAGCAGCCCCAGGGCTGGGCGCTGGCACCTCTCCTCCAGCTCCTCTGCCAGCTCCTTGAGGGCCTTGCTGTGCTGGGCCAGCTGGTCCTTACTGTCCCGCAGTCTCTGCAGGGTGGCTCTCTCCTCCTCCTCCAGCCTCCGCAGCTGCAGCTGCTCTTCAAGAGCCAGAAAGCCGCGGTGCTTCTCAAACTCCAACCTGAAGCGCTGCCGCTGCATCTCCACCTTCTCCTGGAGCAACAGGAGACCCCATCAGGCTGGGGCAAGGTGTGTGGGACGGGCAGCCAGAGAAGGGATGTCCCGCATCAACCCCCACCCCTGAACCCAACCCCCCTCACTCTGCACCTCTGGGGAGGACCTCAGAAACCAGAGGCCGGGAACAGGAGAGGTGGCCGGTGGGGTTTTCAAGCTCAGAGTCTGGGAAGACTGTGGCTGTGGGCCTCCTTGTGCTGCAGGGCCGGAGGCAAGGCCTTCGACATGCGGGTTTCAATATCACGAGTCAAATGCAGCAGAAAGAGAAGCGTGGGGATCATCTGGGCACCTCCGAGAGCCTGTGTGGCCCCACAGCAGAGGGCTGGCTCTGCAGCTGGATGGGTGGCCAGGAAGAGCAGAAGGCCTGGGCTGTGAGGGACAATGTGACAGGAGAATACACAGATGTTCTCTTGTCCCAGGAGAAGCAAGAAACCAGCACAAGGCGGTGTCCCCTGCAGAGTCCAGAAGAACTAACTTCCAAGCAGGCCATTCACTCCAGGATAATACACCAGCCCCTACCCAAATCTCCCATCACGGCTCTTGTTGTTGCTTTCCTGGTGCTGAGGACAGAACCCCTGGCTTCACTCTGGCTGGGCAAGCAGCTCTGCCCCTGAAGCACACCTGGCCCTCACACATCGGTGTCTGACTGAACCTAAGGATCACACTGTGCACAGGATATCGCATCTAAATGTTATTCTCTTGAAATTAGTAGCTAGAAACCCAGCTTTAAACTGAGCATGAGCGGCAAGTCACCCTCCCAAAGCATCTGCATCTTGGGTTGTCCGTTTTGTTTTTAAACCTGATAGTTTCTTGGTTTAATTGAAAGACATAAATTATCATCAAAATTATTATAAAAGACATATATATA